GTAAATCTTTTATAAACTATGATGTTATTTTAAAATGCTATTTTGGGAGCTCCCTATTTGTAAAACCTAAATGTTTCCATGTTTTAACTATGAATAAATATTATGTTTTGATTTAATAAGAAAAAATGGTTAGTCATTCTACTGGTCTCGTGTAATATCTAAATCTTTCGGATTTTGGGTCGGATCAGATTTAGGTGTTACAACATATTAGTACAAACTCATAATTCCACGCTTACAAAGGAACTATCACCCAAGGTCTTTCATGATCACACTACTCATGTGGGTGTAATCTCATTTAAGGATATATAATTGATTTAAGTTTATTACTATAAACACAATTTCAATTACTTTAGTTTAAGGATATTTGTTTTAAAGTTATTTTATGTAGAAATAAATTTTGTTTTGGTAAAATTTGATCTCACTAAAGAGGACCAATTAGAAATAGACATGTGTGGTTCACATTGCATGTAATTTCCATGCTACACTCTATGATAGATATATGTAATTTGATTGTATTTTTATACGTGACAATTGATGTGCATAGTCATGATTTATATGGCAAAGAAAGTTTTGATCCTATATGGATATAGTTGATGAACGAGATTATTATAGAATGCCTATTCTATGATCACAAATTTTGAGCTTATAAGGTTATACATTTATCAAGAAACACATGTTGCTAGAACTAGATATCCTAGTAGAAAATTTAGAGGTAGGAGTTTGAGTATTGAGCCCCTAGGTCTAGAGGTCCTAGTGGATAAGATTCATTGGTGATGCCTAGTAAAGATTGACTATCTATGCAAGAAACCATTTTGAAGGGCAAAGCCATACAACATAAGCTTAAGGCTAATGATGGTACCAAATTTATGATGACTAGTGAAAAGTTAGGCCAATCAAGGATCGTGTCAGAAAGGCTCATAGGTTGATCAACTGAGGTTTTGAGGCATTTTTAGCTCACATAGTAGATACCAAAATCTCAGTTCCAACACTTAGGGATATTCAAGCCATTCAAGATTTCCCAAACTTGTTTCCGGAATAGTTACCAGGGTTACCACTAGAATTAGAGTTTGAGTTCGACATTGAGGTGTTATTGGGTTTTACCCTAGTGTCCATTGCTCCCTATCGCATGGCATCGAATGAGCTAAAGGAGTTAAAAACCTAAATCCAAGATTTTCTAGAGAAATGTTTCATTAAACCAATTATATCTCCATAGGGAATGCCAGTTCTATTTGTCAAGAAGAATGATGGGTCGAAGAGGTTGTGCACCGACTATCAGCAGTTGAGCACGTTAAACGTCAAGAATTGTTATCCTTTCCTGAGGATCGATGATCTTTTTTATCAACTTAGAGGACCATGCGTATTCTTCAAGATTGATCTAAGGTCAAGATACTATCAATTGAAAGTCAAAGAATACGATGTGGCGAAGATGGCTTTTAGGACGAGGTACGATCACTATGAATTCTTGATAATACCTTTTGGACTAACCAACGGCTCGGTGAAATTTATGGACTTAATGAACCGAGTCTTCAATCCATACCTAGATTAGTTTTTAATAGTCTTTATAGATGAAATCCTTGTGTACTCTTGATCCAAAGATGAGCATGACAAATATCTTTGTATTTTCCTACTAACGCTTCGAGAGTGTCAGTTGTATGCCAAGTTTGAGAAGTATGAGTTTTGGTTATCGGAAGTATCATTCTTATGTCACGTCATAGTAGTAGATAGTATCCAAGTTTATCCCTAAAAAATTCAGGCCATAGTAGAGTGGGAGCCACCTAAGAATGTGTCAGAGGTAAGAAACTTTTTAGGTCTAGTCCGGTATTACCATAAGCTCGTTCAGGGCTTCTCGATGATAACTGCTTCATTGACCAAATTGCTTTAGAAAGGAGTCCCCTTCATGTGAGATGAGAAACAACAGAAAAGCTTTGAGTAGTTAAAGGTCATTTTAACTCAGGACCCAATGTTGACTCAACCAGAGTCGGGTAAGGACTCCACTGTTTTTAGTGACACTTCGTTGAACGGATTAGGATGTGTTCTAATGAAAGAAGGAAAGGTTTGTCAGTTCAAACCTCGCGAGTGCAATTACCCTACCCATGACCTAGAGCTAGCAGCGATAGCCTTTGCCTTGAAATTCAGCGAAACTACCTGTTTAGTGAGAAATGTCACATCTTTACTAATCACAAGAGCCTTAAGTATCTACTCACTCAAAAAGAGTTGAACTTGAGACATCGTAGGTGGGTCAAGTTGCTAAAGGACTACGACTGTGTGACAGATTACCATTCGGGTAAAGCAAATGTAGTGGCAGATGCATTGAGTAGAAAGTCAATGACAGAGTTGCGAGCCCTCCTAATACGTTCAAGTCTAACTAATGAGGGTAGGTTGTTAGCTGAGCTACGATTTGAACACTAACTAATAGGCGAGACCAAGAGATTGCAAAGTTCAGATGACCGGTTAAGAGCCCAGGTAGAGTAAGTTTTCCAGGGTGAGGCACTAGGTTTCGAGTTGAGTGAGAGCTTGTTGTATTTCAGGTGTCTGTTGTTTGTGCCCACAGATGCTCAGTAAGATTCTTCATGAAGCACATTGCAGTCCACTCTCAGTTCACTCAATTAGCAACAAGAATTATCAAGAACTTTTACATTTATTTTAGTGGCAGGGCATGAAAATGGAAGTGTTTGAGTTCGTCGCTAGAAGCTTAGTATGTCAGCAGGTGAAAACGGAACACCAAGTTCCTTCAGGGTTACTTTAGCCTATTTAGATTCCTCATTGGAGTGACAATGGAATTTGTGATCGGGTTACCCATGACTAGAAAGAGACATGACGCAATTTGGGTAATAATGGAGATTTTAACCAAATCATCTCACTTCCTCTAAGTTCGGATGAATTATACCTTAGAAAGGTTAGCTCAGTTGTACATCTATGAGATAGTGAGGTTTCACGAGGTACTGATTTCCATTATATCCGATAGAGACCCATGATTCACTTCTTGATTTTTTAAATACCTTCATGAATCTTTAGGTCCTAAACTACACTTTAGCATTGTTTTCCATCCTCAGACATACAATCAATCAGAGCATATCTTAGAGGACATGTTAGGCTCACCAAACTACTTTTTCTTTAATCGGTGTCCAAAATTGGATGGGCTAAAAATAAAAGGACAATCTATATAGTTTACCCATTATTACAAGGGTAAACTACATTAATGGTTCGGTTGGGCTAAAAATATAAAGATCATCTATATAATTTACCCATTATTATAAGGTTAAACTACATTAATGATCATTAAAGTTTGAGTAAGTTTTTATTTTTTCATTGAATTTTTAAAGGTTACAAATTAACTACTAACGTTTTTTATTTGTAAAAAAATGATCACGAGACATTACTCGACGTTAACAAATGTTACTAAGATAACATAATGCTGACATGGAGTGTTAAGTCAACTAACTTCAAAATAACCAGTCAAAACCCATCAATATTGTCTTCTTCTTCTTCACTGCATCACTTAACGGCTTTCCATAATAAACCGAGGAAATAATCAGGTAAGCTTTGAAACCAAGGAATCGTTCAAGGAAAATTTAACACAACCGTCCTCTAAATCGAGTCAAAACAACCAGTCAAAATCCATCAACTTTGAAACGGAAAGTTGTAGCATCAGCAGCTGATACCTCTGGAGCCCATGGAACTGTCGAACCTGAATGAGCCACAACAAATTCAACAAGTGCACCTCCATTCTGTCACTGCAAAATGCATTCGTATAGTGAAAATTGTCTAGCTTGAACCAACAAACTGTTTAATGTAACATCAAATGTACATATGCTTGAACCAACAAAATTTGAATAAGTAAAATAAATAAGCAGGAGAATAAGAATGACTGCTTACACCAAGCACAACAACTTTACCCCCAACTTTAAAATTGTTTACTTCAGCTCCAATCTGCACGATTTCTCCTCCAACAAAATTTCTTTAGCCAATGATTTAAAAGAAGCAATCCAAGAAAACTGCATGCAAACAATATTTAAACGATCACCTTTAGAGTTTAGAATGCAATGCATCGGAAGAAAGAACCCATATTTGGATGGCAGATTGCAACAGGCATGAGCAAAGTAAAAGTACCAATCGATTGAGTTAATGCTAGTCGCTTCTACTTTGATCAAAATTTCATCCTTTTTAAAACTGGGAATCAGAACTTCAATGTGCTGCAACAAGCATCAAATTCACGACCAAAATTCAGATTTAAACCTCGAAAATCTAACTTAATATTTAATTCACAACATCTCGATCTCATCTGAAAAAATAACCCTAAAGAAAGCATGAGAATAAATAAACAAAAAGAACTTCACTGAGTTCAAAGTAAATAGATCCAGAGTCCCAATCCCTGAAACGAGAAGACCAATCATCGATGGGCGATGGTGATGACGATGAGCCACCGAGGACAGACATGAGCGGAAAATGTGGCTCAAAACTGATATTACAAAAGAAATACCGATCAACTATCTTGCTTGGAAAAAATAGTGCTAGGTCAGCCGGTTAACATGCGAGATCAGCTTTCAATCACTCTATTAACGTCGATTGATTCTTTTGTTACAAATAAATAATGTTAATGATCAATTTGAAACTTTTAAAAATGCAGTTGATAAAAAGAAATTACTCAAACTTTAGTGACCATTTGTATAATTTACGCTTATTATAATGGATAAGAACATCCGAATAAAACTAAAAAAAGACAAGGATTAATGCAAAAGGGAAAGGCCATGGATGAAAGGTTGAAGAAGGTCAAAGATAAGCTCTTTGACTCACAGATTCAACGAATCATATCCATTAGTGTTTTCCCATCCTTATTTTTCTAAGAAAAAGAGAAAGAAAGAAGGAAAATTCAACTTGGTGAGTCAACGCTACTGGCGGTGAGATAATATAATAATCACGCAGATTTTGACAAGTGAATAAATATATTTATTACCAGTTTTATGATTTCATCAGCGACAATTTCCTCCAAATCCCTTCTTGTTTTCTATATATTATCTTGCAATGAGTTGCCAGTTGGGTTAGATGCAGAAAATCCCAGAGATCAAAAGCTCCCCCCTGTTTTCTGTCTTTTCTAAGCTCGAAATTGTAAAGGAAAAGAATGGATCATCTGCCCAATGTGTCTAACCAAAGAAATTCTCAATCCCAAACTCAAATATCTCATTTGGCTCTCGACATTGGAGGTTTGTTTTCTGTCCTTTGGTCTTTGAATTTTCTCGAATTTCCTTTTCTTTAAACCCCTTTCGGGCCAATTTGTCACCCGATTTAGATTCTTCGCATTTACTGCGTTGATTTTCGTTGGTTTTCTTGCTGAATTGTGTTGCCTTTTGTGCTTTAAAACCTATTTTGCTTCCAGTTTATGTACTGTTTTAGTATTGCTCCCTGTAATTTTTAAATTCTTAATTGGGATTTTTAATTTTTTTTAGTTAACTGTTTGAAAGATGGTCTAACGGTTGCTAAAAGAGTTTGAACTTTAGGGTCTAATGGTTCTAATAATTTTTCATATATACTCAAAAGAAAGGACTGATACATTTAAAGTATGTCTTTACTTGACATTCCATTTAGAGTATTCAACAATTTAATTTCGGAGATACTTGTTACAATCATCTATGTTGGTTGACAGGTTCTTTGATCAAATTGGTGTATTTCTGTAGATATGATGATAGTTGTAGGGATGATGATGATGAGCTAAGGTCCCAAAACGATAGTCTTTATTCCAAGAGTGATAATGGTCAACCTGTTCTCGATGGAAGGATTCATTTTGCAAAGTTTGAAACGAGCAAGATAAGTGATTGCTTGGAGTTCCTTAGCTCCTTGAAACTTTGCCTCGGTGGTATGTCAACTTTGTTTGTACTTTGTTGTATTCATCATTCCTCAGTGTTTTCATTGAATATAATAAATTTTGGTTGTCTTTGAGTGGCTTTCAAGAAAAGTGTTTCTTACATTCTAAGAGGCAGTATGATTGCCAATGACAATAGCATGTAACTTAGCCACATGACCTAAATAATAGGAATCACAAGATCTTATTTGAGTTTAGACAATGATGGAGTTGCTTAGTTTAATACATGAAGGCTTATTTAACACAATGAAAGTTATTTCCAGTTCCAGATATACTTGGTTGAGCTTTGGCTTGTTCACGAGTAATCCCTGGTTATATTTGAGCATCATGCACTGTTAAGATAAGTGATAAGATGTTCTTAGTTGGCTTCTACTTGTAGTTAACTACTATAGGGAGGAGATTGGTGTTGTAATCATCATTCCTTAAATGGTGTTGTCTTCAAATATCATTAATTGAATATGCTTTTGAAGCTTATTTTATTCTGATGTTGCTTTATTTTCTTATCAACAAATGTGAAATCAGGTTTTCATGATTGCAGTGCTCCTTTGAGTGACAAGATCTTTATAAAGGTAAAACTTTCATTACAATTTCTCTGGTTTTCAATGGAGTTCAGTGTTTTTAGATATTCTGTTTAATTTTTAAACTGGTAGGGGCCACCATTCGTAATAATTGATAAATTTTATTACTATCATGTAGCCAATGTTATTTGTTCCCCCCACGCCCCGTCTCTCATTTCAGAATGTTTTTTCGATGCTATAATATTAACTGCTTTAAGCTCGTATTTCTGTTAGCCTGCTTGTATCTGTCATGTGTTTAGAATGTTTTGCAGTATAAAGATACCTTAAACCGCAAATACCTGTTTGCAGGCAACAGGTGGTGGTGCTTACAAGTTTGCTGACCTTTTCAAAGAAAAGCTCGGTTTCAGTCTTGACAAGGAAGATGAAATGGAGTGCCTTGTGGCTGGTGCAAATTTTTTGCTTAAGGTGGGATTCTAATACTGCATAAATGTTGTTGGTATGCGCCATTTAGAGTCTTTCTTAATTCTTTTAAGTAGTACTTAATGTCCGATTACCATGAAGCCAATCCTATCTGTTATCCTTCCAAATATATGCGTGCTAATATTTATTCCCTTATTACTTTTTGGATATTTATGCATGCTTGTTAAATATATTGCATTCATTTTGGCCGGGTCATGATTATGATATTTTCAACAACACAGCAGATCATATGAAGTAAATGGAGAAGTTAACATTTTGACCTTTGCCTTTATAAGATTTATCCATATTCAGCAGCATGTCTAACAGGATAACTATTTACAATCTGATACCATGAACCGCTCAAGTGTGAGTGAGAGAATTGAAAGATATTGGCACTGCTATTTGATGGAAGAGTTATTTTATCTATGAGACTATTCTAGTTGGCTTTCTTAGGAGGTTTGACTCCATAAGAGTTATAAAAAAAGTGATTTTGAAGTTTTATTCTTCTCAGATTTCTTAATTTAGAGAATACACATCTTCATTTTTGAAAATGAAAGTTTTGTTTATATATGGAAGTTTGTATTATTTTACTTGTAGTCATGATGTTCTCCAAAAGTTAGTGAGAATCTTCCTGTAGTCTCTTTTCCCTTTAGGGTGCGTTTGGTTCACGGAATGTAAGATTACCAGTGGGAATGTAAGATTACTAGGGAATAGAATTACTGGGAATGTTGTATTTTGTGTTTGGTTGATATAGCATGAATGTAAGATTACCGTGTTTGGTTAAAGGAATAAAAGATTATTGGAATGTATATTTGACCAAATTGTCCTTATTATATATATTTTTTTAACAAGTTGGAAAATATTTATATATTTTTAAAAAAAAATTAAATTTATAAAATTTATATAATTTTTTTACAAAATTAAAAATATAAAAAGGTTTAATGAAAGGGTAAAATTTTATTTTAACCCCTGAACTTCATATAAAATTTTTATTATAGACTTTTTTTGTAAATCTAAAATAGTTTAAGGATAAATTTATAATTTAACCTTTGTAGAATTTTTATTATTCAATGACAGAAGAAAGATATTTTTGAAGAGAAATTTTTTTTAATGGCATTTTAGTCCAAAACGCCGGTAATCCAACAATACCTAAAGAATGAGAGGTAATGACATTCCCGGTAATATATTTCAAAAAAATCTACTATTGGTAATCTTACATTACCGGGAATGAGATTCTCGGCTAACCAAACGGGGGAATGTGGATTCCATTCCCATGGGAATCCCACATTCCCCCATTCAAACGCCCCCTTAGAGTTGAGGAATATCTTAATCAATACAAAATATGCATGGCAGTGAAATACAGTTCTAACTTTACATATTTGGTGACATTGTTCTATGGGAGTAAGCACGTAGCTTCTACGATTTTTTGACAGAGTATCTATTTGCATATTGTTCTTTGATGGGCAGTTCACCAAGAAGCTTTTACATACTTGGATGGTCAGAAAGAATTTGTTCAGATTGACACTAATGATTTATATCCTTATCTTCTTGTTAACATCGGATCTGGTGTTAGCATGATAAAGGTATTCTTGTCATCAAATTACTTGGGTAATATTTAAAGCTTTTGATATTTATAGTTGATTGTCAATATTTTGGTATATAGGTGGATGAAGATGGCAAGTTTGAGAGAGTTAGTGGAACTAGCCTTGGAGGTGGCACCTTTTGGGGTTTGGGAAGGCTTTTGACAAAGTGCAGAAAGTAATAATTATGTCCTGATTGTCTACCCTAATCTTTGATTTCCTTTCATGTGATGTTTAATTAAATGTAAACAAATTATCTTTTCTGTCACAGTTTCGATGAGCTACTGGAGCTAAGTCATCATGGAAATAATAGAGTTATAGATATGCTTGTTGGTGATATCTATGGTGGAACAGACTATGCAAAGGTACGGAGATGTCTTTCTTCTAACTCAGAATATGAGAACCTCCATTCTGCAGATCGATGCATGTATATTGGAGTTTTTGCATAACGGGACCTCAGTTTGATTCAACACAATAAAAGTCTGTCAATTACCATCTCTGACTTTTGGATATGTAACCAATTAAACTGCTTCACAACTGTTTTACTAATGATAGATTGGTCTCTCGTCAACAACAATTGCTTCCAGCTTTGGCAAGGCCATTTCTGATAATAAAGAGCTGGAAGAATATGAACCTGAAGACATATCCCGCTCCCTTTTACGAATGATTTCAAATAATATTGGTCAGGTTAGTTTATATAATGGTTTTGTGGCTTTGGTAAATCAAATGTTTATCCTAAAACAGTGCAAGCCTTAAAGCTTGCCTACTGAAGTGGAAATTTTGTATAACTATAGGGATTTTGGCCTCAATGTTGATATGCATTACTTCTTGCCTGGTCTATCCTTTTACAATCATTCCATGTATTAGGGACTCGTTTGGTGGATAAAGAATTCTGTATTCCTGTTTTGCCTAATTGATTTTGTTCCTGGATCTATCATTTTACAATCATTCCATGTATTAGGGACTCGTTTGGTGGATAAAGAATTCTATATTCCTGTTTTGCCTAATTGATTTTGTTGCAGAATTAATATCTTTGCTGTTCTCTGAATTAATGTTAGCCTCTGGTACACATCATGCTTTTGGCTTTAAATTAATACTAACCGTTGTTCTGTTGGCTTTATTTTCCTTTCTTGTACCAGATATCATACTTGAACGCACTTCGATTTGGCCTGAAGCGGATATTTTTTGCTGGATTTTTCATTCGGGGTCATGCCTATACTATGGACACTATTTCTGTGGCTGTTAATTTCTGGTAACTATTGAAGTGTTAGTTATTCATGTGTAGTCCTAATCGCATTTATATTTCCCTTTCGTGAAACTCAAATGATAAATTCAACACTTGATGCTGATTGCCGAAATGATTTCATTTTCTCAAGTTCAATTCATCCTCGTGGAATCTTTATCGAAAATTAAAAGCGAGGGTTTCCTTGGACAGCTAGTTGTTACAATGATAGAATCGCTAGCGTCTATTAAGAAAAAAAGGAACAGTGTTTCCTTGAAATCCTAACAGTGATTCTCTGCCTGCCAAAAAAAAAAGAAAAAAGGAAAAAGATAGATTGGATTTGGCAATTTGTGATGAAAAAGTGACGGCCGTCTTATCTTTCACTTGGTACATCTGTAGGCAAGCATTCTAATATTGTCCCTTTTATCAATATCGATCTTCCTCGAGTTTCAATTTTATTTCTTGCTTTTCTATACTGGAATGCAATGTTACAGGTCCAAAGGTGAGGCGAAAGCAATGTTTCTACGGCATGAAGGTTTTCTCGGGGCACTAGGTGCATTCATGAGCTACGAGAAGCAGTGTCTCGATGGCTTGACGGTCAATACAACGCAGCAAAAGTTCCCCATCAGCTTATCTTCTGCTGGGGATAAGATTTACTGCTCACTGAGCAGTAATTCAGATGAGAATGGAAGCATCGAGCATAGCGTACATGGAACATAAAGATACAACGTACAAGACTAATTGATTCTTACGGAAGACTGTGCAAGAAAAATCTTTCCCATCTTGAGGAACATGATAGATACGAAGAAACAATAAAGAGAGTTGCAATTCAGAATTAGACGTGTTTGTGTTGCTTCTCCCAACATTGTGTACCTGACATTCACCATATAATTGAAGTGCCTTTGTGCTTTCTTCTAATCAAATTGTTATCTTCTGAATATATGATTTAATTCAAGCATTCGAATTTTGACCAATGAAGAGAGTCATGTCTACAGTTGTCGGTCGTCGCATCTGTCGGCCAATGAAGCCCAAACTTTCTAGCCTGCATCTTTTTGACCTCCTAAACACGATTCTAACCTCTATTTCATTGGGAAACACTTCAATTTCCCAAATCGACGATGAACTCTTCAATTTCTTCATCTACGGTCTCATTGTCCACCGTCCAATGGGCCTGAAACTAAACTATATTAGTTGATTCATCATTCTCTTGATGTCTACTGTCTACTGGAGCTATGCCATGTGAACCCGTCCATTTAAGTATTTAACGATGGGTACTAAAATAAAGCAAAAATTAAACGTTATAGAAGATTTTGAAAAAAAGGTTTAGGTATTAAATCAGATTAAAATTGATAGTTTAGGTACTATACGTGTAATTTACCCTTTTTTAATGTGAAAGTCACTTGTCCTCTAATTTCTTTTCTTTTTTATTTCATAAAAGCTTGCAGTTTCTTATTTATTTGAATAGATTAAATCATCAGTGTTTTTGTGAGATTTTCTAATTAACTAGAGAATTAATTATTTGAGTTTCTCTTTGGTTAAGATAAACTAAGAAGAGATTTGGTTACTAGGGTGTTTCGATAAACTATAACCAACCTAATCAAAAAGAATTAAGATCATTTTAAGCTAAAATACGTGCAATTCCGCGATTTACGTTGACTAGATATCTTCCACCATTGAGTTCTGATTTATTTTTAGTTATTTTCTTTTCGTTTTTTAAAAAAAGAGGGCCGTCATTAAACCCCTTCTAGAATTGAGGTTCAAAAGTCTAACAACGGAAGGAGGAAAAAAGTGTCCAAATATATTATTTATACTTAATTTCATTTCAATTCGAACAACATATATAAAAGATCCTGAGAAACAAAATAAATCTCAACAATTAATAATCTCTAAAGCAGCACAAACACCCCATTCGGTACACAACCAATTAATGCTACATGAGGTATAACCAAGCAGGAACCAGCATTTTGTTATCATTCTGGCCAAAAACAAGCCTAACCAAACCTCTTATCTATCTAGCTGATCAACCAATACCTTTTTTAGCTAGGCAGTCCGCTTCCATATTAATCGCCCTTGAAATGTGACGAACTACTAACCACCCTGACGACAAAAGCCCATCGATGCGGAGAATCATATTAAGCAGATTTTGGGGAATGCTATGCGGGTTCATGATTAGATCCACCGCAACTTTGGAATCAGATTCTATGCACAATTTAAATTTTCCAAACCAAGACGATTCCATGAAAGACCAAAATCGATTGCCAACAATTCTGTTGAAATAATTGACCCGAAGCCAACCTTTTTTGAGAATGACAAGCGACTCATTTCAAAATAACCCACCAATCTTGCCTGTATTGATGGACTCTTTGAAGGCTCCTTCGACATTCAGCTTTAGCCAACCAGGAGGAGGAGGGCACCAAGCAGGAGGCGAAATTGAAGTAGCCGATTTAAGAATATTACATTATGCCCTCACCAAATAAATCAAGAAGTTGTCTACTGGGAGCAAAGCTTTCGGAAATTTCGCCAAGCACCAGCTAGCAAGACGGAATTTTATTAAAAAAGGCAGTAGACATAAGTCAACTCTTACTCTTGACGATGCTATCGTTCCTGAAAAGCCATATAGAGCATATTATAGCAAACGAGAGGGATTTCCAAACTGCATTCTGCTTTTTATCAGATCTGATCGTAGCCCATATTAAAAAGAAAGCTTCGGGATCTTTCGGTAGCACTACCGATAAATTCCACATAGCCAAAAAATGGATCCACACCTTCCATGTAAACGGACAAAAGAAGAATAGATGATGCACAGATTCTGGGTCCTTCAGGCAAAAAAGGCAAGAGACATTTGCAATAGTTGATACACCTCTCTTAACAATTTCAACTTTAACCGGCACCCTGTTATGAATCACAAGCCAAATAAACAATTCAATTCTGGGGGAGCAATGCCAAGTCGCACCTAATTTTTCCAGTTGGAGTTCGAAGAATTGTTTATAGAGAGTAACGAACTCATTGATTTAACTCAGAAAGCCATCGCTCACCCCTTTCCAGTTAACCCAATCTTTCTCCAAGTCTGAACCATTAAAGGAAGCAAGAGTGGACATTAGCGATTTCCCAGTCAAACAGTTTGCGCCTGACCGTAATGGACCAATGAACTCCACGCCTGGTCCCTTTTCTCTTCATAATCAACAATAAAACCGGTTTTATTTACAACCAAGTCAAACAGTTTGCGCCTGACCGTAATGGACCAATGAACTCCACGCCTGGTCCCTTTTCTCTTCATAATCAACAATAAAACCGGTTTTATTTACAACCAAGTTTAAAAACACGCGGAAAAGCCAAATTTAGAGGGATATATTTTATAAAATTAATCTAACACTATTCTCTATAGATTCGATCATGCTTATTACTACTACAAAATTTATTTTAAGCATGAATTATTTTAAGGCTTGGACTACTTGTCAGTCACATCTTTAAACTAATAGGAGTTAACGACTTAGTGACTAAAATATAACAATCGATAATGAAAATGATGAAAATTTAATAAATCAATAACGTAAATGACCAAAATATAATATTTTTAATTTGAGGAGTAACAATATACAAATATGAAAGTAGTTTACCCAAAATATTAGCACATAAAATATTGAAACTATGAAATTAAATAAATTTTAAATAAAATTTATGTTGATAAATTAGTTTGTTTTCAAGGGTAAAGTATACATATGATCCACTGGCCGGAAGGAGTTGTTTTATTGAGTCCCGACTATTAAAAGTTACAAAATGATTCTTATACTATAGGACGTTATTTTGTTGAGTCTCTGGACCATTAAAAGCTATAAAATGATCATCTAACTATTCATATGTTTCAAACTCATTATTTTTCGTTAAAAAATTAACGATCGCCTAAACTGGACTTTAACATGTTGATTGAGATATGATGGTTGTTTGAGATTTTAGGATCATATTTTATCATATCGCAATTAGAGAGTTAACGTCTAGCTCAGGTTATCATCAAATTTTTAAAGGAAAATGACAAGTTTGGAACATATGAATAAATTAGTGATCATTTTATAACTTTTAATAGTTGAGGGACTCAACAAAATAACATTTTATAATCGAAAGACCATTTTATAACTTTTAATAGTTAAGAGAATTAATAAACTAATACTCTATAATCGAAATATTTTCTTAATTACTTTTTATTTCAAAAAAAATACGAGAAAATAAAAAAATATTATAAAGCAATTTAGATAAAGTCAGAGTGGGATTTTAATACGATTGAAGCATATTAAAATACAATAAAACCTCTCTAAACAAATAATGTAAACATCACTTAATTTTATTAATTTAAAGAGGTATTAATTAATCATTAATTAATAAATTATTAATTTAAAATAATTCTTTTAATCGTATTGACTAATCGAATCATGTTCATGTACAATGTAACTAATTAAATATAATACATATTGTTATATTTTAACCCGAATTATAATTTGTAATTAAATTAGATTTTATTGTAATTATAGTGGTTGGAGATTTTTTGGTCATTGACCTTATTTAATAAATTAAATATTTATTTTAAGCAATAATTGTTATAGAATAAGAATTCTTTGTGATCAAACATTTGACTCTATAAATAGATATTATGTTTTAATATTTACGGTTATGTGAGATAAAATTATTTTGTAGAGATGTAATTATTTTCGAGGATTTCTGTAATTTTTGGGGTTTATGTCAATATCACAGAATTTTATTAATTTAAAGAGGGATTAATTAATCAATAAATTAACAATTTATTAATTCAAAATATTTTTTTTGATTCAATGAACCTACATTATTCTTCATGAATAAAAGTTATACATCGTATTGATTAACTGAATGATGTTCATGTACAATGTGACTAATTAAATATAATACATATTGTTATATTTTTACCTGAATTATAATTGGTAATTAAGTTATGTTTAATTGTAATTATAGTGGTTGAAGATTTTTTGGTCATCGACTTTATTTAATAAAGTGAACATTTATTTTAGCCAAGAATTGTTATAAAATGATAATTCTTGGTGATCAAGCTTTTGACTCTATAATTAGAGATTATGTTCTAACCTTTAGGGTGTGTTTGGTTGGGGGAATGTGAGATTCCCATGGGAATGAAATCCACATTCTCCCGTTTGGTTGGTCGGAAATGTCATTCCCGGTAATTTTACATTATCAATAGTGGATTTTTTGGGGGTATATTACTGGGAATGTCATTACCTCCCTTTCCTTAGGTATTGTTGGATTACCGACATTTTGGACTAAAATGCCCTTAAAAAAATTCTTTCAAAAATATCCTTATTCTGTCATTGAATAATAAAAATTCTACGAAGGTTAAATTACAAATTTATCCTTAAATTATTTTAGATTTACAAAAAAAATCTATAATTAAAATTTTATATGAAGTTCAGGGGTTAAAATAAAATTTTACCCTTTCAATAAACCTTTTTATATTTTCAATTTTGTAAAAAAATTATATAAATTTTATGAATTTAATTTTTTTAAAGAAAATATATAAATATTTTCCAACTTGTTAAAAAATCAAATATATAATAGGGACAATTTGGTCAAATATACATTCCAATAATCTTTTATTCCTTTAACCAAACACTGTAATCTTACATTCCTGCTAAACTAACCAAACACAAAATACAACATTCCCAGTAATCCTATTCCCTGGTAATCTTACATTCTCACTGGTAATCTTACATTCCATGAACCAAAGGCACCCTTAGGGTTATGTGAGATAGAATATTTTGGAGGGATGTAATTATTTTTGGGGTCTCTGTAAATTTTGGGGTT